TAACTGCTCAAATAAACCAAATACGCTTTAATTCACTTTGTGCTTCGATTATTTTAACAAGTACATTAAGCCCAAACTGGGCTTAGTCGGCTCAAGAAATGAAGTTAAGTAGGCGTTATGTTACAGAATTAAATGCAAGACAGTTAGAAAGAAGGACTGCCAGTTAAACAGAAGGACTCCGAATCTCGCCTGGGGATGAAGAGAGGCTGTGAGCAGGAAATTCATTCTGAAGGGTCAGAAGTGTTTTGACTTCAGGTGTTTTAGGCCAGAAGCTGAGGAGTCCCTGGGTGGTGCAAACAGTTAATGCGCTCCGCTGTTAGTCGAAAGGTTGGAGGCTCAAGTCCACCCTGAGGCGCCTGGAAGAAAGTCCTGGCGATCTACTCCTGAAAAATCTGTCACTGAAAACTATGGAGCACAGTTCCACTCTGACACACAGGGGGTCACCGTGATTTAGAGTCGACCACGGCCACTGGGTACGGTGCTTCCTCCGCCTTTGACTTTCCCCTCCGCCGGCGGCAGTTTTAGGACCTCAGCTCCTGCTGTGCAGTCTATGGAGAGGGTCTGCACTGCCCTCTGGCGGTGGGGCAGCCCGGTACAGCCTCCTGCAGAAGTCCACGGTGCCCGCCCCACTCCGAGCTAGGTTCTGAGCCTGTCCTGGGAGAAGGGAAACACCTCTTCTTTGCATCTTGCTTTACCAAACTCTTCAAAGAGCTCAGAAGCAGTTTAGGGGGTCCAGGGTAAACTGCTCTGAGGAACTGCAGTCTGAGATGACGTTGACATTGAGCGCGGGTGGTTTGGTGGTAGAATTCTGGCCATCCATGCGAGAGACCTAGGTTCAATTCCCAGCCAATGCACCTGACGCACAGCCACCACCAGTCCGTCCGTGGAGGCTTGTGTGTTGCTGTGATGCTGAACAGGTCTCAGCAGAGTTTCTAAGAAGAAAGGCCTGGCGATCAACTTCCAAAAATTAGCCCTCGAAAACCCTATGGATCAAAACCATCCAATCCGCAGCTGGTCATGGGGATGGCGTAGGGCCGGGAACCGTTGCCTTCCCTTGGGCGTGGGGTCTCCATGGGTCGGGGGCCACCACAATGGCAGCTGACAACGACAACATGCGTATGAACTGGGCAATACATGAGGCCGTCACGAGTCTGAAGCGATTTAACGGCAACGGGGTTGGTTTGGTTTTGCTTAATGGTCCAGAGACAGAAATGTCCAGAACTTCCCTGAGGGCCTGGTCTGGCAAGATTTAGGCTGAACTGTTAGGGAGACAGCGTGTCCCTGGCAGCTTCCCATCCTCCTTCTTTCAGGCCAAGTGGGAGTCCCACTGTATTGGAGGTGCTGAAGGTGGTCTGCCTCTCCCATGCCCACCCCTTCTTTGGGCCAGCCCTCTGCCTTAGTTCTTAGGGGGACGTGCTTCTCACCCAGGCATACTCCAACTCCCAGGATAAGAGAATGTACTGGAGCGCCTCAGGTGGTCCCCACCGGTGAGCACTAATACATCCCCGTGAGCACGAATGTCCGCCTTTCACTGGCTCTGCTTGACAGCAGGAAGACCAGCCTTTGACAGTGTCCCCCACCCCAATTTTTCCCAGCGCCCTCCCCAGGGCACTTTGGTGGCCTGTGCGTCAGTTCTGGTCTGGGTCTGGTCGCCTGGTCATGGGGGCCAGCCAAGCTGGCCGGCAGTCCTGGACAGCTGCCCGCGGGGCTGCAGAGCCTGGAGTCCCGCTGCTGGGCCTGGAGGAGAGAAGCCATCACTGGTGCCCGTGTCGAAACAGAAGGCCATTTCTGCCCCACCTCCCCTCTCAGAGTTCTGGGCATTTAGTGTGGCAAGACTAACACTCCACATGGAACAGACTCCTCGTCCCAGGGAGGGGGTCACCTGAGTCCTGGACACGTAGGCAGCCCTCTCTACTGACGCTCAGACCCTGTGTCCGTGTCTGGGTCCCTGTGTGTCCCTGGCAGACTGGCTTCCATGCGTGTCTGTATAAGGGAGGACTGGGGTCCTGCTGGAATCAGCTCCAACTCTCAGTAAGTAATCAGATGTCAAGGGCTACTAATGGGGCAAGGTGGCCCCAATGCCAGTGTATCCTAGCTCTGGTCCCACCCGCTGGAGACACCCAGTGACACCCTGACCAGAGGAGGCTGTGCCCAGGGGGTGGGAGGGCCATGAAGTGCTTTTCCCGTTTCCAGATGACTCCTGAGACGCAAACGTGCCCACTGAGGCCAGAGGAGAAGGGAGCTAGTCAACGGCTTCTGGGATTTGCAGGGTCTCACGTGTCCCTGCTAGGTGGTATGACGGTAAAATGAATAGGGGCTGTGCTTTTCTGCTTTTCAGGGACAATTTCAGAAGGGAGAGCTGGAAATCCTGTCTCCCATACACCCGATTTCAGGGGCTGAGAAATTCCATGGAAAGCTGGAGGGGGAGCAGCTTTTGGAGGAAAGAAGCAGTCAGGGTCTTCAAGGCTCAGAAGAAGGGAGTCCAAGGGGTCCCCTGTACATGTCTTCCCTTATAATAAAGGAATTCTATTTCATTACAGACTTTCCTTAGCTCAGGGCTCAGATTGCTTCTAACTCCCTGGGTCACGGGTGAAGTTAGCTATTTCCCAGTTGACACTACTGCAGAAAACTGGGGAAGAGGAATTGGGGGAGGCCCCTGGGTGACACAAATGGTTTGCACCCAACTACTAATCTAATGGTTGGTGGTTCCAACATGACCAGCGGCACCAAGGAAGAAAGTCCTGGCGATCAGCTTCCATAAAAATTACAGCTGGTTACAGGATATAATCAAGGTCACTGAATTGTACATGTAGAAATTGTTGAATTGGTGTATGATCTGCTGTGTCTATTCTCAACAACAACAACAAAAATACAACAAATCATTTTTAAAGAGAGCGAGAGAGAGATTCCAGCGAAGAAACCCTATGGAGCAGTTCCACTTTGTACACACGGGGTCGCTGGGAGTCGGGATGACTCAATGGCACTGGGTTAGTTTTTTTGCTTTTTCTATAAATTCACCATTTATTAGTTTGTAACACTATGTCCCTCCGTGAAGCTCCAACACACACTTCTCCCACCCCCTCCCGGGGAGGCTGGGGAGGCTGCTGGCAATGTCCCCCGTGACTCCGTGACCTCTCCCGTGGTGGTTCTGATGGTGCCCCTCCTCCATCAGCACCAAACGAGAATGAAGACCCAGGAAGACAGGTCAGGACAACTTAGTAAGTTGCCATGATTTTCTATTTTTGTCTTGAGAAAAGAAAAGCATCATGTTAGGAAAAGCTCACGTACTTTGAGCCTCGGTAATAAATAGCAATGAGCATTACTGAAATACTCAAAATCATTAGGTTAGAAAAACTGACCATCCAGTTGCAAACGTTTTGAGTTTATTTATTTATGTCTCATACTAATGGCCTAAGAGGAGGAGTGATTTCCGGAACTTTTTTTTTTTTAATGACAAATAGTGAAGACAGAGAACAGAGAGCCGGCATACGGATAATAGATGTTCTTGAAAGTGGGCCCAGAACAAATGGATCAGAAAGCTTTAACGGAGTTGAAAGCAGAACAAGGTATGCATATTGAAAAGGCTCCAGGTGCCAGGCGCGATCAGTGAAAAAAATACTACACTGAGCCCCATCCCAGTAAAAATAACTACGTACATAGCGAAAGGGGGAAAGAGGGAGAGGGAAGCCCATAAACATCCACACGCTAACAGGTAAACAGAATTCTCCTTGGACTCAGACATCAAAGTTGCAGGACAAAATGTCCAAAGACAGTAGAACAAAGTCTAAATCAATTTCGAAAGTGAGAATTTGTCATAAAAGATATTCTGTAGCAAAACATGTTGCTAATTTATGAAAACAATGGAAAGGCATTCTGAGATATGCAAAGACTCAGAAAACATACCATCCACGTAATCTTCTTTTAAAATCACTTAAAGACATACTTCAGTTGACTGAAAGATGGCACAGGAAAGAAGCGTGGGGAAGTCATGGCAAAAAAGGACCAACCAGGGAGCTTGAGCAGTGAAAACAGAAATACATTAATATTATTCTCATAAATATGGGTTATAACAGAGCACAACTTTTTTTTATTTTATTGTGCTTTAGGTGAAAGTTTGCAGAGTATGTTGGTTTCCCACTCAAAAAATTTAAACACAAATCTTTTCATGACATTGGATGCAATACTTGCAAGGTGTCAGCAACCCCTCCACAGGTTCCCCGTTTCCATGAGTTCTGGTTTTCCTGTCCCTCAGTGGTTTCCTTTGCCTTAGTCGAGCTGGGCTGACTCCCCCTATATTGTGTATTGCCTTCCCCTTCACCAAAGTTAACACATGTCTACTGTCTAGTTAGTGGTTTTACCTCCCTACCCCTCCCCTCCTTGGTATCCCTCAAAGATTGTTTCTCTCTACATGGAAACCTTTTCTTGAGTTTTTACAATAGTGGTCTCACACATACTTGTTAGTAACACAAATTCTTGATTTTTGCTTTTTGTTACATCAGGAGGCATGGTGGTTCAATGGTTAAGCGCTCAGCTGCTAACTGAAAGATTGGCAGTTAGAACCCACCAGATGCTCTGTGGGAGAAAGATGTGGCACTCCGCTTCCGTAAAGATTATGACCTTGGAAACCAATGGGGCATTTCTATTCTGTCCTATACAGTGGCTATGAGTCGGAATCTACTTGACAGCAACGGGTTTGGTTTTTTGGTTTAATTGTTCGTAACATTTGACATGACAAATAATTTATGTAATATACAAATAACCTAATAATGATCTATATAACCTAACTGAATAGAGCAAAAACAATTTACATACAGTAAAAGATGAAATATTTAATAATGATAATGAGTATCCATACTATTAAGACATGAAACACAGGAGTGAATTGGGGAGCTGAGTGGTACAAAAGTAAAACACTTTGCCTTAAATATGTGGTATATTAAAGATAGCACTTTATTTTTGACTCTGACATTAAAAAAGAAATAAGTTGAAAATGCATTTGGAAAAGTTACAGGTAAATATGGAAAGAATTAAAAGGTGATACAATGCCTTCCAAAATATTGGAGAAGGTAAAAGCAAAGAAAATGTAGCCAAAAACAACATGAAAGTAATCAATGCACTGTGGTATTGGCAAATCAATAGGCAAATAGATCAATGGAACAGAACAGAGAGCCCAGAAATAGACGCACACAAATACAGTCAACTGATCTTTGGCATGGAGCAAGGCAATACAATGGAGAAAGGATAGTCTGTTCAACAAATGGTGTTGGAACACCTGGACATCCACATTCAAAAAAACGAATCTGACCACCTTTAGGGAATGTTAAGGAACCAATTCATTATTTTGGACACCACTCAGTCAAAGAATCAAGCATTTATCTTGCCTTTCCTGTACAAACTGTATAACAAGGTAACCAAATATTGCTGAAGGAAAGTTTTTTGCAGAAGAATTCTGATTAGTAAATACAGAAGGAATAATGGAATCTGAATGCCATCATTTTGCAAGCCCTCGTGAGGTAGTGAATTTAGGCAATAGTCATCAATGACTGCTAAACTCATTAGGTGAGAGAAGGATGAAGCACCATGTAATAGACGGGTCAGGCTGACCTCACTTGAACCTACTGCCTGATCTTAAAGTCACAAATGAAATAGCCCCACCTATGAAGTCTACTTGCCCAAAAATACAAAACAAAACAAATCCCCCTCCAAAGCTGAATCTAAACCAGTCTTGAAATCTAACTGTTGTTAGTTGCTGTCGAGTTGATTCCAACTCATAGTGACCCCATGTGTTACAAAGTAGAACTGCTCCATAGGGTTTTCTTGGCTGCAGTCTTCACAGAAGCAAGTCACCAGGGCTTTCTTCTATGGTACCTTTGGGTGTGTTCGAACCGCCAACCTTTAGGTTGGCAGTCAAGTGCAAACCGTTTGCATCACCTAAGGACCTCGAGATCTACTAGTTTACAAAAAATGCTGGGGAGAGAGGAACACACCACTAATGGAATGCAACTGGAAAAATACAGAATACAAAAAATTTTATAGGACAAATGCTTCAGATTCTTCAATGAATACATGGCAAGGAAAGAAATGGGGGGCTTACTGCTTAAAAGAGACTTATGAGACATACTAGCTAAATGCAGTGCGTGGGGCTTGTTTTGGTGCCTGATTCAAACAAATTAACTGCAAAAAGAGATTCGTGAGGCAGTAGGGGAAATTCAAAGTGTGACTAGATATTGGATGATATAAAGGAAGCATTAAAATTTGGGGGGATAAGATAGAATTTTTAGGTGTAAAAAGGAAAAATTAAAGATGGTGGAGGGTATGAGGATGCCATGAAGGGTCTGGCTTCACATCAAAGGGAAGCTGGCAATATCCTGGACTGCTTGGCAATCTAAGGACCCACCAGGGTTCACACGACTGGGGTCCTGAGGTTTGGGAGGTCTCACACTCTCCAGAACAGGCTCATGGAGGATCCGGGAAACTGTTCTCATTGGTTTCACCAAAAATAAGCACCTCTTTGAGATCCTTTCCAAATTCTGCCTCTAAATCAAGCTTCACCTGACCAAAGTCAGAGGTCTGAAAGACAGAGCAAACAAAGGCATTAGATGACTGAATCACTCACAGTTTTAGGCGGAGCCCTCCCACCCTTCCCTGACCTCTGTCCTTCTCCATCAGGCAGAGTTGGGGGTCGGGGAGATGCTACTACTTAAATAATGAAATGGATAAGATGTTCCCCAGTTGTTGACTTGGATCATACAGGCGATCTGGACTGAGGAGTGGGTTCTGATCATTAAAAAACTTGAGCATAAGGCTTGGGGCAAACTAGATAAAGAAAGAGTGTTTCTTGAAAACCCACTTTTTGAAGGAAGGATGACCCTTCTGTTCTCCAAGGCTGAGACTGCGCCAGGCATCGAGGGCTTCACTGGGTCAACTCTTTCTCCCTCCAGCTGTAGGAGTGGACACCAATTTACAATTTTTGATTTGTGAATAAGCCAACTCTTGGCATGGAGAAAGAGGAAGAGGCTGAGTGGAGTTGAAGATCTTCTTAGATACCTCCCAAGAAATATCAGTACAGTGAGAATAAAAATCAGGGTGAACTTCATAAACTAAATTTAAGAGTGGCTTGAGGGAGCCAACATGGCACTATAGGCAGAAGCACCACACCATTCCTCCACAGCAAAGACCCGAACAACTAAGTAAAACAGACAAACATCAGTCCTGGAACCCTAAGCATCAAATGAAGATATAAAGAACTCAGCCAAGCACTGAACAGAATCAGAAACTGACAGAAAACAGAGAGTGAGGAGAGGTATCTGTGGAGTCCCCTATCAGCTAACACAGCACAGATTCGCCATCTTGGACTCCTGTCGGAGATCGGTGGACAGGGAGTATGGGAAAGCAGCTTCACAGAGCTCCCAGCAGGAGACAGAGCACCTGGTAACCAGAAATATACACTTTCCCACCCCCCACCCTTCTTCCCCCCGGCTTGGCATCTGCTGCTTCCCGCCAGCTGCAGTCTCTTGGCTGGGAGGCACCAGTTCTGGCTCCCTGATGCTTGGATTCACCCCACCCACAATGGCCAGCTTCCTCAGTGCCATTCCTTTGTTGCTGGTGTTGCTTTTTTCTGCTTCTTTTGGTTTCTTCCCTGCCTCTCACCTCCTCCTCCTCATTTCTCTTGAATACCTGGCTCTGTGTGTCATCTCTGTTTCTTCTTGAAAGGCTGTGAAGGCCACTCAGCTGGGGAACTGCTTCCTGGTCCACGTCACCACACTGGTGGAATCCCCGGGGCCTTTTTGTTTGTTTGTTTTGCTCTGTTCTGTTTTGTTTTGTTTTGTTTATTTGTTTTCTTTTTCTTTTCACGGTTTGGGAACCCCTTCTAGCCGGGCTGTACTGCGAGGCTTCGGAGCCACTTCCCTGATCTGCACAGCCTCACAGATGGTATCCCTGGGGGCACTTTTTTTTCTCTTTTTTCCTTTTTGTCTTTCTTTATTTCTCAGTTTCTCGTCTCTCTATACTTACTTTCTTTCCCTATCTCCTGAATACCTGGTGCTGTGTGATATCTCTGCCCCTTCTAGCAAGGCTATACTGTGAGGCCTGGGAGCCATTTCCCTGGTCTTCGCAGCTGCACTGGTGGGATTCCTGGGGGCTTTTCTTTTCTTTCTTTCTTTTTTTTTTTCTAATTTTTATTTATTTTGCTATTTTTTTCTCTTTTTCTATTTTCCTTTTTGTTTTTCTCCATTTCTTGTCATTCCACTCCAACAGCAAGCTCCCTTAGCACTCCTTTTTTTTTTCTTTTTTTTTGGCTCCTGTTCCTCTCTCCTCTCTCTCATCTTTCCCATACCCATCTTAGCTCCACACATCACAATCTACCCCCTCCTTCCTGCCTACCTGTACTGTGCGTTGAACATCACACTCCCAAGCAGCAAGGCATGGCCTACTGGAACCTGCCCTGCACTGATTCCTGGTCCGCACTGTCAGCCCTAGTACGTGCCACAAACAACCCATCTCAGCAACTCCCCTTCAGCTGGACCTGCCCTGCTGTACCATACTTGAGTGACTGACCCTGCCCACTGGAGAAAGAGGTGAAAAGTATCGTGCCCACAGATGAGCAAACAACAAAGAATGCACAGCCCCCTGCTCAGACATAACCAAATAAAACAAAAAAGTAGGATGAAACAAACAAATCTACAATCAATAAACAAGGAAAATACCACTGAATGCCCTGAAGACAGCAGACAATATCAACACATTTACAAAAACAGGACAGGATGGTTCCAGTAGGTGTCCAAAATAGGACAGCAGATGACCTGCCAGTAGAAGAAAAGCCACTAGAGCTAACTGATAGGGAATCCAAATCTCTAATATTCAGAATTATCCAAGAGTTGAAGCAAAAAGCAGACAAAAATGAGGAAAAAATAGACAAA